CCATTATTTAAAAAAAGATGTTGAGAGTTTGGAAACAATGCAGAGAAGGCAACAAAGATGATTAGGAGCTTGGAAGCTAAAACATACAAAGAATGGACTAGGGGTGATATGGTAGCAGTATTCCAATATTTGAGGGACTGCCACATTATGCTACAAAGAAGAGGGGGTAAAGCTATTTTCCAAAGCACCAGAAGGCAAGACAAGAAAAATGGATGGAAACTAATCAAGGACAGAAGCAACCTAGAACTAAGGAGAAATTTCCTAATAGTGAGAATAATTAACCAGTGGAATGACTTGCCTTCAGAAGTAGTGGATGCTCCATCATTGGACATTTTTAAGAAGAGACTGGACAGCCACTTGTCTGAAATGGTATAGCATTTCCAGCTTGGGCAGGGATTGGATTATAAAACCTTCAAGGCCTTTCCAACTCTGCTAAAGTACCTTGTTTTATTTTCTGAAAAGAACACTATAATACAGCAATATGCTAATAAAGAGCAGCCAAGGGGCCTTAGAATAAATAAAAATTACTAAGAAAGCATTCAAATTTCTCAAACTCTCCTCCAAGTGAGTGCTGGTTTGAAGGAATAAATAACAGAAGTTGTTGAGGGAAATGAGAAAAATGTGTTATTATCAGAAACTAGTTGAATTCCCTGGATCACTTTTATTTGAAAATAAAAACAGCACAGATGCAAAGGAAATAGAATTGATAGTTTTTCTGTGTGATTTCCATGCATGGAAGTTTTCTTGTTATTCTACATCCACAGATGAAAATAGACAAGAAAAAAAAACTTTAATTTTTATTTATTTATTTATTTATTTGAATTTTTACAATCTGGACAAATATTAGAATTGCAAATATATTTCAAATCAGCTGTGAGTGTACTTTAACAAGAAGCATTCTTTTAAAAGATCCTGCAAAATCATCTTGAAGATCTACAAGTACTTTCCCCCAATCTCCTTATCATGATTCACATAAGCAGGTTGGCTTAATCAATCCAGTTTGACATGCACTGAGCCATAAAGTAACCATATCAACTCAATTTGCATAAAATGCCAAACCAGCACATAGGTTGCTGTTTTGTGCCATCTGTGAACCAAGCCAGTATTTCTTGTAAAACATAATTTGTAGTTTATATGTTTGAGTGGTTATGTCAGTGCAGTTTGCTGGGGGGGGGGGGGAGTACAAAATAGGAATACAAAAACAGTACTGGCTATTTTTTCAGTCTTTTATTTATACAGAACAAATGTTTCCAACTTGACATCCTTTGGAGTGCAAATTTCTGAAGAAATTCTATTTCATTGGATTCTAAGACAAATGGAGAGCACCTCAACTTCCATGTTCAAAAGCAGAAAACATTGGAAAGCCACTGGTGAAGAAAGTCCCTTGACCATGGCCTCCTTCTAGGCCAGCGGTCCCCAACTTTTTGGCCACCAGTGGTCAGTTCTGTGGGGAGAGGTTTTTCTGTGGACTGCAGGGGCAGTGGGTTTGCATGCTGGCTGCATCCCCTGGATGAGGCTTCCCTTGTTTTGTGTGGCTCAGTTTCTGGCATGACATGGCCAGTGGCCTGTCCATGGATTGGGGTTGGCGACTCCTGTTCTAGGCTGTCTAGAGCAGTGGTTCCCAACTTTTTTTTTGGCCAGGCCCCACCTAAACATCTCTAAAATCCTGGCTCCACCCCCCCACCCCATGACATATAATTATTATTTTACTCAAAAAGTGAATTCTACTCACACGGAGGATGCCTAAAAGGCCATTAACTTGGTTTAAACAAGGTTCAAATTGCCCCCATTAAAATCAAATCCTCCAACTTGTGGGGTCTAGGCCCCACATTGGGACCCATGAGTCTAGAGATTTCTGAGAGGACTATTTAATCTGACCTAGCAAAGAACTTTTTATACTTGTGGAAATTAACCATTTAGTATATATTGGCAACCAATCGTTATAGTTTTCTCTGCCATATAGGGATGTTTCATTTATTTATTTTTTTAATTTATTTTCTTGTTAATGCTAGTGTTCAAATCTGTGCTAACAAGGGTCCCCTTGATGGATGCCCAAGGGATAAAAGTACTGCATGGCGCCACTCTGCGTATGCCCTTCACTTCAGTTTCACCCAGTTGCAAACCGAAGGGAAGCAGCGTTCGTTCAAAGCCGCGCTCGGCGGCGAGCGGAGCAGAAAGGCCAGGTGAGGGCGGCGCCAAGGCTGGCGGCAACCGGGGGCTGAGCGCGCCTTTCCCTTCTTCGTTCGGACGCCGCGGTTGCTCCTGGTCGCCTTGCGAATCGAGAGCTGGGGAGGTTCGTTGGTAGCGGGAAGAACAGCCGCCAGCAACTGCCGTCCTCCCTCCTTGCATTCCAGCATAGCCCCAAAGGAAGATCCAGAGCGAAGCATGGATGGCGTTGAGAGCCCGGACGCAGCTCCTGCCTCCTCCTCCTCCTCCTCTTCCCCCGAGTCCTCCGAGGAGCTCCGTTCTGCCCTGACCATGACCAAGGGGCTCTCCATCTTCCTGGATGTAAGCGCAGCGGGTCCCTCGCCTCCCTTTCTCAGGCTTTGATCTGCTGGGTCCTTGGGCGTCACAGAAGTTCGACCCTTTTCTCTTGTGAACGGGATGGAGGTTGGCGGATAGGGAGTAGGGGAAAGCATTTCTTCCTTTCTTCTTTTAAATTATTGCAAACGTGTAACAGGTTGGGCTTTTGCTTCTCTCTCTGTGCGGAAGCCTCAACCTGTTGAATGTTTGCCCGCCCCCAAATCGGTGTGTAGCAAGAGTTCCTTGATCTCAAGGAGATTATCCTATCAAATGATGCTAATACCAAGATCCTGGTTATTTGATATGGGCCCTATTAGAGTCCTCTAAATTAGATCCCTCTGGCTGAATGATAAAACGACCTGAGGCATAAATCACAGGTTCTGGACTGTGGGTTGCAAATATATTAAGTTGATTTGCACTCTTTTCTGTAAGAAAAACAGATTTAGATTAACATTTTCCCATGCTGTTTTATTAGAAGTTTAGAGGCACAACCAAGAAAAGGGAACACATTTTTGGTACTAAAATGACAGTTGACTAGTTCTTCTATTCAGATTTTTTTTTAATACCAGTTTTTTTTAAAAAAAATAATGTAAGTATTTAAAATTTGGTGTTTACAAAATTAGTCACAATGATTCTGTATGAGCAGGGTGATTCAATTTGCTCTAATAACAGGTGTATTTCCAAAGCAAAAGAGTTGGTTGTTCAGATTGGG